AGCCAGTGCTAAAGCTGAAAATCCCTAAAGCTTTCTGGAGGGGAAAGGCACAAAACACTCACTCTGATATAAAGGGGAGAGATACCAACTCCAGCTCGTCTCCTGTGATCATGCAGGAGATCAGAACTGGAGGTAACTTTACTGGGGTGCTTTGGAAAATCAATTATCTGCTTTTAGAGGGGAAAAAACCTCCCAGGGATTCAATTCCACTTGTCAAACTTCAGCTATTTGCTTTATCCTCCTTGCTGAGAAAGTGCGAGGCTTGCTCACACTCCCTATTCTCCAGGAAGAAAAAAAAAAAAAAAAAAAAAAAAGCTGTTTGACAAAATAATCATTTTTGCAAGCTGCTGCACTGGCGGGACAGAGGTCTGGGATTTGGCAGAGGGAAGTGCCCGCCTTCCAATCTGATCCCAGCACCAGAGCAGAGCACCACCTGCAGCCTGGTGCCCAGGGTGGAAAGGAGGAGGGAAGGAAGCAGGAGCCATTAGAGACTGGCTCCTGGCCATCCCACATCTCCTTTGGTGCACTGGATCAGACCCCACAAACGACTGGCCAAAAAAAGGAAATCTAAAAATTGGACTCAAAGGGTCTTTTTAAGCACTTTAATCCTTTTGCACTGCCTGTTCCCAGAGCGGCCATTCCTGGCAGCAGACACTGAGCTGGGAAAATCCTACTCCCCAAGCCAAGGAGTTAAAGAGAAAGCTGCTAATCAGCTAAATAGAAGCTGGAATCTGTTCATATGAAAGTCTCTTTTTTTCTCTGTCACCTGAGGGACATCACAGTGTTCCCAAATACACTTTTGACATCATTTGGCAGCAGGGCCCATCTCATCCTCCATGATTCATCCCTTAGGTTATTTTTTTAATATCAGAAAGTGAGCTTTTAAATGCCAAACTCATTTTGCGGGTGGCGGTGGGGAAGTGGAAGAGATTCCAAGTGGTCTCGCTGGGCTGTGCACCAACTGCCTCCACCAAATGGCTCAGAAAGCTCCTCTTCCCATGGAGCTTCCCAGACAAAGCACACTGACAGCCACATCCAACTATTACCTAATAGTTTGTTCCTCAGCTTGATGGAAACACGAGAGGAGAGAGCGATTCCAGCAGGGCCAGATGCAGGACAGGGAGCTGGAGGTGGGGATCACTCACCTTCTGTCCTTGTTGCCTGCCACCAGCATGTTGGGGGGGCTGCTGTGGAGGTTGACACATGAGAAGGCACCCATGGAGTTGCCCAGCTTGGTCACACACTGGTTTGTTTCCAGGTTGTAAAGGAGGATCTGGCAGAGAGGGAATAAAACACCAATTATTCAGCAGGAGCACCACGACAAGGTTCTGCTGCCCCACCAAGCAGAGTTTTACCACCTGAAGGGTTCTGCAGGATTTGTTCCCTGATGTGTGAAACAGCACCAAGAGACAGATCTACCCCTGTGAAGAAAGGCAATGACACCTGTAGCCATGATATTTCCCGAAAAATCCTTTCCTTAGGATTTTTTCTGCTGAGAAGCTGAGAGGCCTCAGGAACAAAATGTAAACATTGATTATCTGCTGCTGTGGAATGCAACAGGGGCATCCGGGATTGGTCTCATGTGCTTGTTTCTAATTAATGGCCAATCACAGACCAGTGGTTTCAGACTCACTGGTCAGTCACAAGCCATTATTATTCATTCCTTCTTTTTCTATTCTCAGCTAACCTTCTGATGAAATCCTTTCTTCTATTCTTTTAGTATGGTTTTAATATAGTATATATCATAAAATAATAAATCAAGGCTTCTGAAACATGGAGTCAGATCCTCATCTCTTCCCTCATGCTGGGACCCCTGTGAGCACCAGCACAGACACCCTCAGAAATCAGGAATTCAGGTTTCCCAGTGGGATCCAGCCACAAGCAGGGATGCACCCCCAGAATGGCCAGGCACAGCTCTCAGGAAAACCACACAGGTGACATCTTTGGTGTTACAGGAAAAGCAAAGGGTTTCCTCATCAATTTTAGTGCTTGAGAGAGCAGCAAAATCAAACAGCAGCAGCCCTGAGGAGGTCTGGACAGATGGACAGTGAGGCAGATCTGGTCAAGTGCAGCAGGAACTGCAGGGCAGAGCTGAGCACACACTGAGAGCCTGGGTGCCCTCACACACACACACAAATGTCACATCTGAAGTGGCAGCTCAGATGGGAAAGGCAGAAAAACAACTCTGATTTTAGGCAGCATCTGAGATGATTCAAGCAGAGCCTGGATGAGAAGCACGAGTTGTTCCCTGCCCGCTCCCACTCCTCTCCTCCATCAGTTTAATCACGTTTGCTGTCCTTCCTGTGGGGCCACAGCTGATCTGTCTGCTTGGGCCTTTCAATTTAGGAGAACAAATATTTTTAGAAACAGAAAAACGCACTGGTCAAAGCCCAGTGGAGCTCGGTGCTGCACCTGGCCTTATATAACTTCATAAACATGATTCAATTTCATGGTGTTGCTTGTTGAAATGAAAAGAAACCTTGTGACCATGAGAAGAGTTAATGGTATTTGAAACACCAGAAAAACCCCACAGCTTCCATGGCAACATCAGCATGGCCATGTCATCGTCACATCAATATTATTTACTTCTAATTTGCTGATTATAGCCACGTGCAGCTCAATAAATATTGCACTATCTGGATGGATTATTTCAACATTTGCCAGAACAGCAGCGCTGATGCTGCCTGGCCTTTTACTTCCTATCTGTGCCATTTCAGAGATCTGAAAGGTGAATTAAGAGAGAAGGAGAGGATCATTTTGTGATGGAGGCCTCTGGGCAAGCAAAGATCTTTAAAAGCTTTAAAGATCTCAAGGAACAGGGCAAAGAGAAACAGAGAATTTGCAGGTTTCCTCCACCTGCCATTCTCCCAGGCAAATTCAGCTCCCTATTAGGATCAACACATCCAACTTCCTTAGGTGTTCCTAAGATTTATAATCTCCCAATTAGTTCTTTGTGAAGCTGTCTCAAAAAACATGGCATTTTTCATCCTTAAGACCCAAAAAACCAAAGCAAGGATGACCTTTGTTGGAAAACCTAGGACATAAAAGTTAAATTTAAATAAAAATTAATTTAAACTTCCACCCCAAGGAAAAAGCTGCTACAAACTTCATGGCAATGTTAGTGTTTGAGGTAAAAACCAGTTTACAGGCTGTTCTCACTTCAGCCCAGCTCCCAACAGCTCAGTAACCAAACCCACAGATAATGATGTTCTGGCAAAGGCACCTCGAAGGGTTCTCAGTGCTAAGGAAATTAATATCTGTGCCTGGCAACCCAAACTTCTCCTTGGAAAGTTTGGAACAAAAGACAAAGGCAATAAAGTGCTGAATTCAGCTGAAGAAAGAACTGACAGGGTCAGGAGCAATGCATTCCAGCTCCCAGTTGGGCCCTTCCCAGCTGGATGTTAAACTCCAGAGGGGAGAGGGCCAAAAGCTGCTTTCTTAAAAGTCCCCTGGGGCTGATACTTGCAGTGAACATCCATAACCTATTAATTTATCTAAATGACCAGAGCTCCCATCTCTGCTATAAACATAGGATACATATTTGAACATCCAGCCATGGCCATGAAAGGCTGGAATGAAAAATTGCACTGAAAGATTCCCATGGAATGTTTTCCGTGTTACATTTGCTCTGCCTGCAGGCCCATGGCAAAGCTCACAGGTAACAGCAGCTGGAAAAAAAATTTATTTCTCCTCACATAACTTGAGGGTGGCCTCCAATTTAAAGGGGTTGCATCTAAGAATCTGTAGAAAAAAAAGGGTTCACACCCACAAAAATGGAAGAAAAGCTTGTATCATCTTCTCCTACCCCCTTCAACTCCTTCTCATGCCTATCTCTATTCTTTTAAAGATTGTTCATTTTAACCATCAATCTTGTTATTGATTTAAATTTATTTTAAATTTTATCATGCACAAATGTCTTTCTAACCAATTAGCTCCATCATCAGAAGAGTCTCTATGATTTTCAGTATCCAGGTTTTGCCTGTCTTGAAATTCAACCTGTCTTGAGCAGCTCCATGACCTGCAAGTGAGTTTCAAACTCAATTCAATTGATAAGTAAAGAAGCTAAAAGCACTCAGGATGCTCAAGTCTGAATAATAATTTCCTGGAGACAGGGATTTAAGAGCACACTGATGACAATTCTGAAGTTGCTGGAACACCTCTGATGAGCTCTCCTGTAATATCCCAAGGCAAGAAGGATTTTCCTTACAAAGGCCAAGGAGAGAGAATGGAAATACCTGGTCAATAGGGACTTGAAATAAGGGCCTGTGTGTTAAAGGGCAGATAAAGCATAAGATCTCTGGGAGGTTTATAATCCTATAATGCACACTGCAGAGGGATTACCCTTTTAAAGGTATTTATAATCCTATAATGGACACCCAAGCCCAGTGACCTAATAGGTACCGAAGTGAGGGAAGTGAACCAAGAGCATTTGGGTGTGAAATGAAGAACCCTGGGATAACACACTAATGAGCAGCCCTGGCCCCTCTGGGACCTCAGGGAGGAAAAGCATTAAAGACCTCGTGCAGGCAGCTCCGGGATCCAACGCCCCAAATAAAAAGTGTCACCTATTAACATTGGCCAAATGAAAAGTCCAAGTTGTTGGCCAAGAGCCAGGCAATCTCCCTGAATGCTTAATAATTCAACAAGCCAGGAATAGCCAGAGCACCTCCAGCATTCTGTTTAGTTAAAGACCACAGAGATTAGCAAACACATTATCCATCTCCGAGGCCATCCCTTCCCTCTTACAAGTCCCTTAACGACCTTTACCATCCCTGCCTCTCTCTCTCTCTCTTTTAATAAGGCTGAGCAAATGGGACTTCATTTCAGCCCACTGCCACAGACTGGGGGTATTAATAATTCATGCTCATAGTCTCCCCTTTGTTAAGGCAGTGCATTAGACTAATTCCCCTCTTTGCTGGGTGACTTGGGCACAGCTCAGCCTGTGGCTGCTCCTCTGGGAGGGACACACCAGGAACCCAGCCCAGGCACGGGAAAAAAGGCAAAGTTACTGTTCTGCACAGAACTGCAGAGTGCTGGGGCAGGGAGCTCTCTTTAAATGCTGTCCAAGAACTCATGAAAGATGCCTGAAATGAATTCCCAAAAAATTAAAGGCTCTGGAGCCAGAAGAGCTGAGCTGTGAGCTTTGTTACATCTCGCTGCTAAGTGAGGTCAAGCGTGGTCGATGCACTCTGCTTGAGACACTTCCAAGAAAAACCAAGGAACTGTAGGAAATGCTGCTGATGGAACTCTTCCATGCATGGCCAAAACCCCAGCAGGTGTTTTGGGATGCTGTGCTGTTGGAGATGTCTTTTTTGGACAGAACATTAAAACAACAAATCCCTGAGCACTTGTTATCAAAGAGCCTGTGGTACTTTCAACAAGAGCTGGGGTGTCCATCCCACTGTCCTGGATGGCAGCCAGCACACGCCTGCTCTGGGAAGAGCTGCTTTTCCTTTCCCTTTTCCTTTCCCTCTCCCTTCCCAGCCCATTCCTGCCTCCCTTTCCCTTTCCCTTTCCCTTTCCCTTTCCCTTTCCCTTTCCCTTTCCCTCTCCCTTCCCAGCCCATTCCTGCTTCCCTTTCCCTTTTTCCCTTTCCCTTTCCCTTCCCAGCCCATTCCTGC